GCTTTTCGAAGATTACTTGAAGGCTCATTGACCTTTACATCTAAAGTTCACCCTAAATCCTAAACCCTAAACCCTAAACCCGGTTCTATGGTTCGCTGTCTCGATTATGGGCCATACCAAAAATCTCTTTAACTAAAATAAAAAAGTCTCACCTGTGCCTTGAGGATGTAACTACCGTTCACAGTCCCCCTTCTCATATCTCTACTTGCAGGTTTAGGGTTTAGGGTTTAGGGTTTCGGGTTTGGGGTTTAGGGTTTAGGGTTTAGGGGTTAGGGTTTAGGGTTTAGGGTTAGAAAGGGGGTCATTTCTGAAAATGCTGTTCGTCCAAGATGTGTCGTGGAATGCGTCTACTTGGGGGGCCGCCTCATGTCCAAGATAAAAGACAACTACGTACCGCATAGGAGATGAGACAACAAAGTATTCGCATCGGAAACCCACATGTAACTAGGAAAGCGCACCCCTTCACGACAATAGAACGTGGAGCTTTTCTATAAGTCTATAAGGCATATAAGGGCTCACGTTGAATTTCAACAGTCACGCAGTCAAAGTTGGCATTAAACCCTACCCAAGGCCAACATGTTTCAATATGAGGGAAGAGATTGTGGCTGAAATTGCAGGGTTGAGGGTTGGGGTTAGAAGCCTGGGATTTGGGGAAATCCAACCCCCTGGGCCTTCAAACCTTCGGTGCGTCTGATGACCGACTCACTGTTTTGAAGCCCGAACACGCACCAAAACCGTGTTTGTTGGCATGGTAGTTTCTAACCCCAACATGCTGATGTCCAACTGCCCATATCAGTTTTATTAAGAGGCCGGTAATATAGGATTACTAGAAGAGAGAACCCATGAACACTTCGTTTGTCTTTTTTACGAGCGAAATGCACGATTGTGAAAGCATGAGGGTCTGTATTACGCTGTTTCTAAAGCCTTCTGTTATTAAAATTGTAAGAAAAAGAGCTTTATTGCGGGCTATTCATTTATCATTTTAAGCACGCCCGCATGTTATTTTAATGGGCTATGGCTACCCCTGAGCTGCCCTACACTGTAAGGCGTAAACCCTCAACCCTCAACCCTAAACCCCAAAACCCAAAACCCTCAACCTTCATCAGTTGGTAAACCCTAAACCCTAAACCCTAAACCCTAAACCCTAAACCCTAAACCCTAAACCCTAAACCCTAAACCCTAAACCCTAAACCCTAAACCCTAAACCCTAAGCCCAGTCGGTCTAAGGTTGAACCTTCAAGTAGGAGCCGCCTGCGACCGTGGGTCGCCAACAGTCCTTTAAGTCCAGCTCCAAGAAGCATGGGTTCCCCTTCTACTTGGAGGTTCAGGGCTAGGATGGCCCTTAAAACCCTCTGAACAAATATTCCTGAGTATGACTCTCTTAAACCCAATAAGGGAAAATATAAAATGTCCCAAGGGCCTACGTAGAGGGAAGTTCAGGGTACTTACGAACCAATTATCACTGTACTTATAACCCACTTATAAGCCCCTTAAGCGCCCTAGTATGGTTCTACTTTGGGTTATAAGTACAGTCATAATTGGTTAATAAGTAGCATGAACCTTCAAGAACCCCCCCTCTATACTAACGCCCCCTACGTAGGCTCCGCCCCATAATCAAGGCTACTTCGTTAAGCCTCTCTAAACCCTAAACCCTAAACCCCAAACCCTAAACCCTAAACCCTAATTAAACCCTAAACCCTAAACCCTAAACCCCAACCCCAAATTCAGGTTATTTAAGGAGTGAACCCGTGGAAGAAGCCACCTGCGAATCCTCATGAAGATGAGGTGGCGCGTGGGGTGCGCAGTACTGCTGAAAGCATCGCAAGAGCCTGCGATCCTGAAACCCTTGAAGGGTTTAGGCTTCAGGGCTTGGAGTTTAAGATTTTGGGTTTAGGGTTTAGGGTTTAGGGTTTAGGGTTTAGGGTTTAGGGTTTAGGGTTTAGGGTTTAGGGTTTGGGGTTTGGGGTTTGGGGTTTAGGGTTTAGGGTTTAGTGGGTGCAAGGCGCGACTGCAAGCCTACTAAGCCCCGAATGGCCCTGGATCAGGAAGCCGCCAACAGACCTGCAACCCCTGAAACCCCAAAGCCCTGAAGCCCCTGGGATTTAAGGTTTAGGGTTTAGGGTTTAGGGTTTGGGGTTTGGGGTTTGGGGTTTGGGGTTTGGGGCGAGGCTTTCACATGAGGAGGCTTTGGTGGGGGTCTTGGTACTTCGAACCCCGCCATATAGGAACAGAAGGGATAGGGTTACGAATGGACAGAGGGCTCGAGTAGCTTGCAGCACCCCAGCTCCCGAATTCGTCCAGCCGTTGAAACGTAGCGGCGCGTCAAGCAAGAGAACTTAAGGGGGGGGGCAGGCTCAGCAGCCACATCAGCTGCATCGTTGCTCGAACTCCCCGAGCGTCACCTGAGCTCAAGGTCTGCACAGCTCCTGAGACTCAAAACCCCCAACGCGAAAGCCCCGCACACACCCACAGCCCAAGACCTTGGACACCCCGACCCCCT